GCAACATATGCAAATATTGACAAAAATTATATGGTGCTTGTACAGTTTCAAAATATTGTTGTACATATGTATATTTACGGCCCTCAATACTCCACCATATCCCTGTGAATGATGTCATGGTACCATCATCATGGTCTGTTGTGGTTAACTAACAAACCATTAGGACATCTGAACATCAGCGATAGGAGACCAAGTTGTTGATGTCATGCCTCAAGATATCAAATGTGGCTCAAAGTCTCTCCACCAAGCTGTAGTGATATTTGGAAGCGGCAGTTGAGGTGTAAGGCTACAGAGGTCCCCCTGAATCTTTCCATCTTCTTCTCTTTCCTCTTTTTTATCATCTTCCTTTTTTTCCCTTTTCTTCTGTGGTGGGACATCTGCAACTTGCTGCTGCCTTGTTCTTTCTCTTCTTCCATCTTCATCATGACGTGATGATGTCTTGGACAAATTTGGCTGGAAATTAATATTCAATGTTTCCATAAGAAATTTGGAGGGCAGTGGATCGATACTGGTGAATTTCATTGAAACGTGAACCTGAGACCAATTTCACTATTGTGGTACTTGAATTTGAATCTGGGCCCAAACTTGATTATTTGTTGAGGTGAGAGGCAACATGCACAAAAAGTTTGTGTTGCATTATTATTGAGTTGGATATGTGGAGTTAGTAAGAAACCAGCAAATGATATATTTTCATATTTTCATTCATCGACAACTGAGCATAACTTCAATAGAGGATGAAATGACTGGAAATTGAAATTGGTTGGTTCATTCACAAATTTGGATGGCAGCTTCAGGTCCCTTGAACTTTATTTGAACCCAAACCAGATCCTGAACTCGAACCTGATCAACTATTGAGATACCCAAATCTGGTTAACTATCTGGCTACCCTAATTCAAACTCAAAATCAACTCGGATACCAACTTTCCCAGTCAAACACATCCCAAAACCCAATAAAGGGTACCTATATCAGGTTTATCTGATGGATAGATGCAGGTGTTAAAAAAAACCTGATTCACTGCCATTGTCATTCAACGTTTGAGTGAGAAGGAACAAGAAACCCACAAATTCCCCCCTACTTGAACCCAAATCTGAACCAAAACATGACTCTAATATCTGATTATCTAACCCAACCTGACCTAAAGGTACTCGAACTCTGTTTAACTTGTTTGGGTATATCTGAATACCCAAAATAGTTAAATAACATCTACCCACTGCCTTCCCCAAGGCTGAGTCCAGCTGAGTTTGTCTTTGGCCAAGCATGGTTAACTCAACCCAAGTTAGGTTGAGTCCGTTTTTTGCAGTGAGGCAAATTTGTTATGTTTTGATGCGAGTCCAGGGAACTGGAAACAACACTTGAGGACATTTTTCTTGTGTTCTGTCTTCTTTATTTTTGTAGTTATTCAGTGATCACACACATCATGTTTACTGTTGAATACACTATAATTTTATGTTAATGTGCTAACCTGCAGTTGATGAAGTTACCGGATAAGGATATCGTGGAAATGGTTTTCTTCCCAGTCGTTAATGAGGCTTGTCGTGTTCTTGATGAGGGTATTGCTGTCAAGGCATCAGACCTCGACATTGCTTCCATCATGGGCATGGGTTTTCCTCCTTACAGGTTTATTTTTTTGGAGTGCTTTGGAATTGATTGAAAAGTTTATTCTTACTTTGCCAATGAGTTTTCTTGTCTTGTATAAAAAAACCAGGGGTGGCATAATGTTTTGGGCTGACACTCTTGGGGCAAATTATATTTTTGAAAGACTTGAGGCATGGTCAAAGATGTATGGCGATTTCTTCAAGCCTTGCTCCTACCTGACCGAGAGGGCAGCCAAGGGCATACCTTTGGTGAGTCGGTTCCAGCCTTTTTCTAAAATTTGATGCTAGGTTTAGTTGCTTTCCACTGCTTGATCAAACGTCAAATTTTTGCAGAGTGCCCCAGCCAATCAGACCAGGGCTCGGCTATAGATAGGCACTTTTTAAAGCGTCATCTTCTTTCTCAAAACAAAATGTGGGTGCGGTGCACGTCTGAGGTATATCTATCTTATCTAAGGAGGCTGCACACTTTGTAATAATCTCGGGTGTCATATTAGCAGTAGTTACTACTCAATGCAATGTCATATTCTGCAGTAACACTTGTGTGCATGAATGGACTTCCTCATCTTTCGTAGTAGCTTATCGAGTTATTAAAAACGTCCTTATCTTATTGAATAAACAAATATACAATAATGGATATCTGTCAACAGGTCAGACAATTGTGATTTGGGACAATACATGTTAGTTTTGGAATACTGTTACATGCATGTAATGTTTTATTTTTCTGGCTTATCGAGCGGCTGTGCATTTTGGCATCGTACTTGTGCCATACTTTGTACTTTGTACTTTCCCCCATAGGATAACACACTCTGATCTAGGTGTGAAAATAATTTTCTCGGATTATACTTTTAGTGAGGAAAATATATGCACAGTGCCACTTAAAGGTTTCACAACAAATGTCCTAGAACTTACACTGCTCAAATTTTCTTTTCTTAAACATGGTTCTTTGTCAATGGTACAATCAAATGATGACTTGTTTTGGTTTTTATCTCGATGCATGCATTAGCGGTCAGCATGTGCTTTTCATTTTGTTTTATGTTGATGACATTGTACTGGCTTGGAATAATTTGGATTTGCTTTATGAAACAAAACTTTGGTTGTCAAAGTCTGTGATGCTAAATATCTTGAAGGGGTTCTTTTGTTGTCAAGATCTTTCTCTGATGTCCACATTACCAAACATGTTTTTGATATGTATATGTATATGTATATGTATATGTCGTATACAAAGTCTTTTATCGTAGATAGAGAGAGGATTTGAACCCTTCACACAAGCCTTTAGATGTACATCTCCTTGAGGGTGGCATGTATCCAAAGATATTCCTCATTCTTGTGTTACAGATTATAATATGTTGTGTTCTTTTACATAGTTACGCACACCGTATGAAAATTTTGATGCAGAAAATAAAAAGGAATTAGTTGAATATTAGAGAGCATAGGTATTATACACTAGAATACGTTTCTAGAAACCCAAAACATACTTGTTGTATGTTCTTTTTGTAATCATGTAGTGGCATTAGTCCAAAATCCACCGACCAGATTATATGGAAAGGGACAGAGCATTGCATTCCTTGAGCACGAACACTCTGCATGATCCAAGTCAAGTCGGCGTCCACCGGGAACAGGTGGTTGCATCAGGTGGACTATGACGATAGAAGGGGGAGAGTGAGTAAGCACTATGGCATGGAAAACCATGGATTTGACCTCCATGACAGAGAAGGGTTACCATGGGGTAGCGCACTCTCATTGGACTCTTATCGAAATCCCAAAGAATCAGTCTTTCAAATGGGCAAGTGATTAAAGAGTTGTGTCGGCCTATAGTGCACTCTAATTATTCGATTCAACAGTGGAAAGTGATTTTGGACCCCAATCCGCTATTAGAACAACAAAACTGTGATCTGTTGTCTACCCCTCCTTGACCGCCAATTCTATCTCCCCAAGAGGATGAGGAGGATGAGGAAGGGCACGATAGGAACGCTCAGGTCTGTGCATGATGTCCTCCTACATAGTATTAATCTATCAACGGAAGGAGTAAATCAAAACGAACATACCGTCCAAAATAGTAGAGGGGTGGATGTGACTGAATCAGTTAATGTAAGATAAATAATGTGTGTATAAATCGGTGATTTTTATATTTTTTCTAAATATATGGTTGTGAGTTTGTCTGATTTAGCTGTCTGGCATTTAGTTGTTAGTTGAAACTTTCATTGTCTTTTATTATTTTTACATTTTTTTGGTGTTATTATTGTTTGACTAAGTCGAAACACTAATTGACAATAATACTCGTTAAAACCTCTTCATGATTGTAAAAAATATTAAAGGTATTATATATATATATATATATATATATATATATATATATATATGTTGTATTTTACTTTGCAAGGACAAATATGCTTTTTCCAAACTTTGAAAGGATATTATGTTATATATATATATATATATATATATATATATATATATTAAAGAGTGCTATTTGTGATATTTATTTAAGGTCTTTTCTCCCTCCATGTCGTTTATTACATCGTACGACCCATTATATAGAGGTCGTATTTATGTCATGTTTTCAAGAAATGTGTTGATGGAGACGCTGCAAATTGAGTCACCGGCAATGACTGATGACATAATTAATGTAAACGCAGGGTGGTATACGGTGTATTGGTATTATTGTATACCATCATGTATTCAAGTGAATGTATTCAAAGCATTGTATATTTTCTTGCGTTCTTACAAAGAAAAACAAAAACAAAAGAAATTTATTATAGATGTAGTGTGTATAAATATATATGATAAAGTTGCATAATATTTCTCCAAAGATATTTTTTATATTTATTCATCTAAATTTATATTTAGCATCGATATTATTAAAATATTAGAAAGCTTTCGTATATGTCGTCGTAGTTAATACTTATCATTTTTTAAAAAAAAATATAATTTTTAATTCATATACCATACGACGACGTATAAGATATTCACATGAACTTGAGTATGAGATATATCAATTGTGTAATAATTCACTAACCACAAGTCCATTAAACATCAACACAATTATACTAAAATTTTAATCAACATTAATACCTCTTTAAAAATGTTTTAGACAATCTGTGTCTGTTTAAGGGAGGATTTATATATTGGAAGAAATATATTCATTAAAATTTGGTGGGGCAAATATGCTATTCCCAACTTTTGAAAGGATGGATATGTAAAACTTCTCCTAATGGAGGATATATATATATATATATATATATATATATATATATATATATATATATATGAAAGAAAGTGAAAAAAAGCTGTGAAATGGCATGCATGCTCTCAACGACAACTACAACTACAAGGAAAAGCTTATAAGAAAAGGGGGGTGGGGGTGGGGTTGGTTCGAGGTCCGCCACTACTATTATTGACTGCTGATGGAGGCCACCGAAGGAGGCAACAACAACGAGAAGGAGAAGAAAGAGGAGAATGCGATGGAGGATCGGGTGGGTGATGGTGGAAGACGGGCGGCGACGAGGAGAAGCGGGGAGTTCTTCCCGGAGCTATGCTCGCCGGCGCCGGTGCGGCTCACTGTGTGGTGCAAGTCGCTGCTCTTCAACAGCCACGGCTACACCGTTTACGACGACGCCGACGGCCGCATGGTCTTCCGCGTCGACAACTACGCCCACAACTGGCGGCAGCAGGCTGTTCTCATGGACTGCGCCGGCCATGTCCTCCTCACCGTCCGCCGCTGTCGCAAGGTCACCCCTCTCTCTCTCNTCTCTCTCTCCTCCTCCTCCTACCT